TCCATTGAAGAATTCTGTTTAAATAATTTATCGGAAATTAATTTTTATGTGATGGAATACTTGGAAATAATAAACTCCACTACAACAGTTTCTATTTGATCACGTGATCACCTCGTAATATTGTCCGCCGCGCCTATCGGATCACGTGATCACCTCGTGATAGTGTCGACCGACCTTCATAACTCTAATCACACACCTAGCTGCTTATCAGTTCAGCGTTAGCGGCCGTCGCGTACATTTATTCAATTTCGTAATAAAATGTTTCTTTGCAAAGTGTGTAACGGTGCGTTTACCTTAAAACACAATCTTACCCGACATATACGTTTGAAACACGGTGATGTGCGGGAATCGAACTTTAAATGCAGTATCTGCGAAAAAGTTTATTCAAGATCCGACAAATTGAAACACCATCAAAGAAGCGTACATGGACTAGATGTTCCACGTTATGTTGCGCCGCCGCCGTCGCCGCCGCCACCACTACCACCATCTTTACAAAGTACATCGGTCGGTCCGGTTGAACAGACGTCATTGCGTCATCCGCCTAAACAACAACCCTCCAACCCTTCATCAAGTACGTCGGCGGAGCCTGTTCAACATGTGTCATCAACATCATCACGTCCTTCACCTAAGCAGCGGCAACCCTCCAACTTATGTCCAATTTGCGGTGTTGACTTTATATCTACCACTCACCTACGGACTCATCTAAGATTGGAACATGCGACCCCGGTCGAAGGTGAAGATAACGTCGATAGATTGGAATCATGTTTTAAAGGTAGAGTTTGCACCTATAGAGTCGCAGACGTGTTGGTCGATGATGATATATCATCGTTCCTAACAAGATCAGAAGGAGCTGTTAAACGAATGATTGAGGTTAGTTTAGATCGCTGTGGTCCCTCTATAAAGGTTCAGATTGAGTTTTTTGCGAATTATGTTAAAGCCGCGTATGATGAAAATGGGGATGAAGACGTATTAATGTCCGAGAAAAATTTTAATTGTAAATTTCAAGTTGTTTCGGTGGGTACGGATTTGCATGAGGTGTATGTTGGGATGTGTAGGGAAATTTTAGCTCAAAGCGAAGAATTTCAAGAACGCGACTCTGGGTGGGCCTTCTTCTCCGTATCTCACCTCCTGCTTAATATTAATAAATTTGAACCTATACCCGGGTCATCGTATATACGTTTACCTCAGGTAATTGTTGAAAAACATGCGTGCGTAAATATTAAAAACTATGAGGACGATGCTTGTTTAGCGTGGTGTTTGACGGCGGCTCTTCATCCTACCAACCACCATCAAGATCGTACTACAAGCTACCCTCATTATAGTCAAGTACTTAATTTGCGCGGAATTACATTTCCAATAACTTTAAAAGATATCATTAATGTAGAAAAATTAAATAATTTAAGTATTAATGTTTACGAATTGATAAGTAGTAGTAGTAGTAGTGGTAAATACACGGTGGAAGGGCCAATTTATTTTACCAAACAAAGACGCGATAATCATATAAATTTGCTTTATCTATACGATAACGGGAAGGGACATTTCGTTTTAATTAAAAATCTTTCAAGGCTAATATCGAGTCAAGTCACGCGCCGCGAACATTCTATACACCTTTGTGATGGATGTTTAACGCGGTTTTCATCGGCAGACAAGTTACTCGCACATCAGACTTATGATTGTAATCATGTGATGACCGTTTTACCTACGGCCGATTTAAAATCTAAACAAAACTTTTTCGGTTTAAAAACTCCACAAAATATTTTAGAATTTAACAATTATAAATTCGCTCAGATGGCTCCCTTTGTCATCTACGCCGACTTTGAATCGCTTTTAAAACCGATCGATTATTGTAAACAGAGTAGCGCTAAATCTTTTACGGAAAAAATTGAGGAACATCAACCGTACAGTTTTGCTTATTACATTGTTTCCACGATTGANTAATCACACACCTAGCTGCTTATCAGTTCAGCGTTAGCGGCCGTCGCGTACATTTATTCAATTTCGTAATAAAATGTTTCTTTGCAAAGTGTGTAACGGTGCGTTTACCTTAAAACACAATCTTACCCGACATATACGTTTGAAACACGGTGATGTGCGGGAATCGAACTTTAAATGCAGTATCTGCGAAAAAGTTTATTCAAGATCTGACAAATTGAAACACCATCAAAGAAGCGTACATGGACTAAATGTTCCACGTTATGTTGCGCCGCCGCCGCCACCATCTTTACAAAGTACATCGGCCGGTCCGGTTCAACAGGCATCATTGCGTCATCCACCTAAACAACCCTCCAACCCTTCATCAAGTACGTCAGCGGAGCCTGTTCAACATGTGTCATCAACATCATCACGTCCTTCACCTAAGCAGCAGCAACAGCAGCGGCAACCCTCCAACTTATGTCCAATTTGCGGTGTTGGCTTTATATCTACCACTCACCTACGGACTCATCTAAGATTGGAACATGCGACCCCGGTCGAAGGTGAAGATAACGTCGATAGATTGGAATCATGTTTTAAAGGTAGAGTTTGCACCTATAGAGTCGCAGACGTGTTGGTCGATGATGATATATCATCGTTCCTAACAAGATCAGAAGGAGCTGTTAAACGAATGATTGAGGTTAGTTTAGATCGCTGTGGTCCCTCTATAAAGGTTCAGATTGAGTTTTTTGCGAATTATGTTAAAGCCGCGTATGATGAAAATGGGGATGAAGACGTATTAATGTCCGAGAAAAATTTTAATTATAAATTTCAAGTTGTTTCGGTGGGTACACATTTGCATGAGGTGTATGTTGGGATGTGTAGGGAAATTTTAGCTCAAAGCGAAGAATTCAAGAACGCGACTCTGGGTGGGCCTTCTTCTCCGTATCTCACCTCCTGCTTAATATTAATAAATTTGAACCTATACCCGGGTCATCGTATATACGTTTACCACATGCGTGCGTAAATATTAAAAACTATACGGACGATGCTTGTTTAGCGTGGTGTTTGACGGCGGCTCTTCATCCTGCAAATCATAGTCACGATCGAACTACAAGCTACCCTCATTATAGTCAAGTACTTAATTTGCGCGGGATTACATTTCCCATTACTTTAAAAGATATAATTAATGTAGAAAAATTAAATAATTTAAGTATTAATGTTTACGAATTGATAAGTAGTAGTAGTAGTAGTAGTGGTAAATACCGGTGGAAGGGCCAATTTATTTTACCAAACAAAGACGCGATATTCATATAAATTTGCTTTATCTATACGAAAACGGGAAGGGACATTTCGTTTTAATTAAAAATCTTTCAAGGCTAATATCGAGTCAAGTCACGCGCCGCGAACATTCTATACACCTTTGTGATGGATGTTTAACGCGGTTTTCATCCGCAGACAAGTTACTCACACATCAGACTTATGATTGTAATCATGTGATGACCGTTTTACCTACAACCGATTTAAAATCTAAACCAAACTTTTTCGGTTTAAAAACTCCGCAAAATATTTTAGAATTTAACAATTATAAATTCGCTCAGATGGCACCCTTTGTCATTTACGCCGACTTTGAATCGCTTTTAAAACCGATCGATTATTGTAAGCAGAGTAGCGCTAAATCTTTTACGGAAAAAATTGAGGAACATCAACCGTACAGTTTTGCTTATTACATTGTTTCCAATATTGATAGCAGTTTAAATAAATTTGAAACGTATACGGGACCGGATGCGCCTAAAATTTTTATCTCTAAATTAATTGATGATGTTAAATTACTTTACAACAAGTACTTTAAAACTGTAAAACCAATGATACCTTTAACGGCCGATGAGCAACGGCATTTCGAATCGGCTGAAAATTGTATTATTTGTCAAAATCCTTTTACTTCAAACCAGGTTAAGGTTCGTGATCATTGTCATATTAGCGGCAAATACCGAGGTCCCACCCATTCAAATTGTAATCTAAATTTCAAACTTCAAAATTTTATTCCGATATTTTTTCATAACTTTAGTGGGTATGATTGTCATTTATTTATTAAAGAAATGGGTGATGCAGACAAAGATGGACTTGATGTGTTACCTAATAATAAAGAGAGATGCATTAGTTTTAGTAAAAGAGTGTTTGTTGATAAGGTAATTAGCGAAGACAAATCTGTTGAAAATGTTTTCTTTAAATTAAGATTTGTTGATTCATTTCGGTTCATGGCATCTTCATTAGATTCTTTAGCAGGTAACCTTAATGAGTTTGATTTTATTCACGTGCGTAAATTTTACCCACACAATGATTATTTTAAATTGTTGACCAAAAAGGGAATCTTTCCCTACGCCTTTATGTCATCATTTGATAGGCTTAATGCCACATCCTTACCCCCTAAAGAGGCATTTTTTAATAATTTAAATTTAGAGGGAATATCTGATGAGCAATATACCCATGCCCAAACTGTTTGGAAGAAATTTAATTGTCATACTTTTAAGGATTATTCCGATTTATACTTAAAGACCGATGTTCTTCTATTAGCTGATGTATTTGAGAAATTTAGACGAGTATGTTTCAAAACGTACGGTTTAGATCCCGCGCATTATTATACGGCACCGGGGTTATCTTGGGATGCTATGCTAAAATTTACGAAAATTAAATTGGAATTGTTGACGGATATTGATCAAGTTCATTTCGTTAAAAAAGGTATCCGTGGGGGCATTTCACAATGCTCTCTACGTCATGCTAAAGCAAACAATAAATATATGGAAAATTATGATGCTAATTCACCTTCAAAATTTTTAATGTATTGGGACGCTAATAATTTGTATGGGTGGGCAATGTCTCAATTTATCCCCGTTTCCGACTTTAAATGGTTGACTGAAAACGAAATTCAAAATTTAGATTTTAATAATACAGCCGATGATTACGATTTCGGATATATTTTAGATGTGGATATTGCGTATCCCGAACACTTGCACAACCTGCATAATGATCTACCTTTCTTAGCCGAAAATTTAATCCCCCCTAACTGTAAATGTGAGAGCGATAAACGATTAATTCCAAATTTATTTGATAAGACAAATTATGTAATTCATTACAGAAATTTAAAACAAGCCGTTGCACACGGATTAATTATAAGTAAAGTAAATAGAGTTTTATCGTTTAAACAATCCCCTTGGTTAAAGTCATATATAGATAAAAATACAGAGTTACGTCAATCGGCTAAAAATGATTTTGAAAAGGATTTTTTTAAATTAATGAACAACGCCGTTTTCGGTAAAACCATGGAAAATGTTGATAAGCGAGTCGACGTCCGCTTAGTAACCAGTTGGGACGATATCAGGTCTGACAAAACCGCAGGTAGACCTAGACTTGGAGCTCGGAGTTTAATCGCTAAATTAAATTTTAAAAGTGTTAAAGTATTCACAGAAACGTTTTCGGCAATTCAAATGGAGCGTCTTCATATCGTTTACGATAAACCTCTATACGTTGGTTTTACAGTTTTAGAACTCTCAAAATTATTAATGTACGATTTTTATTATGATTTTTTAAAACCTAAATACGGCGAGGACGTTCAGTTGTGTTACATGGATACCGACAGTTTCACCGTACTAATTAAGTCTGACGATGTGTATAACGATGTTAAATTAAATTTAGATAAATTTGATACATCTAACTACAGTCCCGATAATCGGTTTGACATCCCCTTGCAAAATAAAGCGGTTTTAGGTAAGATGAAGGATGAAAATTGCGGAAACGTAATGGTCGAATTTATTGGCTTAAGATCGAAGGTGTACGCAAATCGGGTTGCTGATGGGCGGGTTACTAAAAAATCTAAAGGTATTAGGAAAGCTGTGGTTAAACAAAAGCTTTCATTTCAAAATTATTTCGACTGTTTACATTCAAATTCCGTATTGTGTAGAGAATAGTTATTATTTAGAAGTTTTAACCACACGGTTTTACCGTTTTACAAAACAAATTGGCCTTTTCCCCACATGATTCAAAGCGATGTATCGATGCCGATGGTATTAAAACATTGGCTTGGGGTCATTTTACAACTATTTCGAATAACGTTTAAATATATTTAAGTAGGTTAAGTAGAAAATACTATCATTTTATTCGAGTATGTTTAATTTAAATTTAAATTTAAATTTTTAATATATGTATTAGCTTTAATTTTTTGTGATTTTCTCTTCCTCCTACCATCAATCAGTCAATCAATCAATAGTAATAATAATAAATAACCTATTTTAAGGTAAGTATTATTTCAATTCAGTCATCGCTCCGCGGGGGATTAACTTCCGCTGATAAGCATATGATCGTCGACGTCATCGTCGTCGTCGTCGTCGTATTTGTCATCGCTCCGCGGGGGATTAACTTCCGCTGATAAACGTATGAGCGCCGTCGTCATCTCTATTTGAACGTTATTTAAACACTTTTAACTCATTTCCTTCGGTAGCCTAGCGTGCAAGACGCCCCACTCTCAACCAGACAGCCCGGGTTCGAGCGTTGGCAAAAAAAAAAAAAATTTAACCGACCGTTAGGGCGCTAGAGCGTTATCCCCTATCGTAGGGGGAGGCTTGGGGTTGATGGGGGTTGCAGGGAGCCATTAGGGCACTAGAACATCATCCCCTATCGTAGGGGGTTGAAGCGGGGTAGTAGGAAGCTATTAGGGCGCTAACATGGGGTTGAAGGGGGGATGGGGGTTGAAGGGGGTCAATAGGGCACTAACATGGGGTTGAAGGGTCCATTAGGGCACTAACATGGAGTTGAAGGGTCCATTAGGACACTAACATGGGGTTGAAGGGGGGATGGGGGTTGAAGGGGTCAATAGGGCACTAACATGGGGTTGAAGATGACACCGGAAGTGACAAGATACCGGAAGTGACAAGATACCGGAAGTGATAAGATACCGGAAGTGGGATGACACCGGAAGTGACGTCATGGGGGATTAGGGGGATGGGGGATTGACTTCCGCTCAAGAACCGGCATTACTTCACTACTTTAAACGCGGTATGAAAACAAAAAGGAAATTAGGATTAGGTATGAAGGAGTATAAACGAAGAAGGAGAGGGCTACATAAAAATAGAGGCTCTGTTGTTTTTAATTCAAACGTATTGAAACCGATCAAAATTAAATTAAAATCGAAAAATTTCCCTAATGAAAATTTAAATAAGAATGCGAAATATGCATTGGGTATAGCAAAAAAGGCGGTAAAAAATGTTGGTGGTAAGAAAAAGATCCACACACCTCGAAGGCTAAAATTTAAATTAAATACATGTAATTCGATAATTTTACGAGAAGGAGGGAAATGAGCAGGAAGGTCAAGTTTTGTCGAAGTGTAACCGTTCATGAAATCGAATTAGTTGATATCGACATTCCTAGCTGGGAACAAGTAGCCAGAGATAGAGCAAGATTTTTGAAGCGAATTAAAGAAACAGAGGAATTGATATCTCCAATTCTAAAACATTCACATCGTTTGAAAATTATGGCATCACGAAATCCAATAAAAATCATTGATATGCAGGGCTTTACTCTATTATCAGGGTTTCGGGTAAAAGAATTAGCTATAAGTGATGGTTATTCGATTTCCCATTTCCTTTTTCAAGCCGACGTAGCTCATGAAAAGCTTAATAAACGCGAACGACGACAGATTGCTTGGGAACAAAACAACTTACAACATTTAAACTATGACGATGGATATGTAGCCTACAATCGACTTAGAGAAATTCTGCTCGAGCATACATGTGAAGCGGAGGTGATATTTGTAAAGGGTTCGCAAAAGGAAACGGTGTTACGGGATTTACTACCAGAGACAAAAACTGTAATTATTAATTTACAGGATAATTTAAATTGTCCATTACTTTCAACATCGCAAAATAGTTGTGTATATCACAATAATTCATTTAGTAATTGCGCAATTGAAAATGTAAAGTTAATTTCAAAATTTTTAAAATTTGGTTTGAATAAATTAAACTAAGAAGAAATGTTAAAGTGTACACGTAAGTAAATATAATAAAAAACAATAAAAATTAACTTTTTTTATTTTTTCTCTAAAATTCTATACATTTTTTCGTTTAAATCAACGATTTTTTCTAAAATATTGATCATCGTCTTATTTTCCGATAACGATTTTTGGGGGGCTTTTTCCAATCCTCTAGGGGCATAATAGCGGGAAGATCTGGGTGTTTCCAACGGGATTAGTGTTGGAGGGGGTGCCACTCTTTCGTATCGATAGGAATGTCCCCATGCTTGTCGGGTAGATCTAGATGTTTCCAACGGGATTAGTGTTGGAGGCGATGCCACTCTTTCGTATCGATGGGAATGTTCCCATGCTTGTTGTAAATCCGATATGCCCCGCGCATAGTCCTCATCATGACCATTAATTGTGATGAGCTCCTCATCATCCATTACCTCACCTTTCGAGCGAGGTGAGGGTGACCTAGGACCATCACCCTCCTGCCAAGCTGCTATGAGTAAAAAGCAGAAAATATAATTTATTAAAGAGATAAGAATTAAAAAAGAAAAAATTAAGTACTTACTTTCAAAAGCATCGCTGGATTCTTTCGCTACATCTTTCGAGTGGGGTGAGGGCGACTTGAGGTTCTCGTTTTCCTCCCAAGCCACTACGAAAAAAAACTAAATAAATAAATAAATAAAAAGGTAGGAATTAAATAAGAATAAATTAATTACTTTCAAAGCCATCGCTGACTTCTTTCTTCACATCCCCAACATGTTCTTCCGTAGTGGCTGCGCAAGCGCGGGCTCTTAGCAAAAATTGAAGAAATACGGCTCGACTCGAACCACCCACACACTTGACTTCGCCTTTTAAACGATTATTGTAACGCGATCTTTAAAAATTACTTTTATAAGTTACGCATTATTATAATATTTATAAAAACTGTGATATAGTGTCGAAATTGAAAGGGAACAGCGATAGGGACAATAAAGCAAAAAATTAATAATAATAATTATTCATAATATAAGTACGAAGGCTTTCACGGCCGATATTAATTAAACTAAAACTAGCACTATCACAAGAATTAACACTAGACCTAGAATCTTTCGGGTTAAGCCGTGCGTTTTTGAAAAAATGTTTGACGTTTCGGATGCCATGTTGCAACCTTCTTCAGAAACAAGTTCGAAACACTTCGAACTTGTTTCTGAATTTTTTTTTAAATCAGTACCTTTTACTTTGTTTCCGAACCGTTTTCGAGCAAACATTGGTCCTTCGAGCCGGATCTATTCCGGAATCTATTTTTTTCTTTTCTTTCCCATTTAAATTAATTATCTCTTTCCCGTTGCCACGCGCTCACATTCGTATCACCCACATCTGGTGAATTTGGTTCGAAGTTGCAACAAAAAAGTGGTTCAATTTATTTTTAGAATTTATTGTGGAATATTTTTCTGTTCTTCATAAAAATCATTGTCGAATTATAATAATAATTATTATTTTAATCCATATTCCCCTTGGAATATATCTATTTTTTCTCATTCTTTCTTTTGGAATTATTCTTATTTTTTTCCCCTTGGAATATATCTTTTTTTTTTTCTCATTCTTCCTTTTGGAAGTATTCTTTTTTTTTATTATTACATATTCCCCTTGCAATATATATATTTTCTTTTCTCTTTCTTCCTTTTGGAATTATTTTTTTTTATTCCCCTAGAATATACATATATTGTTTGGAATTATTATTTCTTCTTTATACCCAGTTGAAGATTATCTGCCACGTGGAATCGTTACGTTTAGAATTTATTTCTTTAACCCCTTGGGGTTTATTATCTTAATTTTCCCTAAGAATAATTATTGGGATTATTACTGCAATTGTGCTTTTGGCCTTCAGAAGTTACAACCCCTATATAATTATCGTTTTCTTTCATCATGGCAGAAAAACTCGTCAAACTCACTTTACGCCGTACTGGCTTTGTAAATCATCTCACAGAATCTTTGAAACTTGCACAAAATCTTCCTAACGATCCTATACAACATCTCATGTTCAAAGAACGAGCTAAAGATGCAGAAAATACATACGAAGAATTTAACGATACCTGTTTTTGATGGGAATCATAACGCCTGGCCTACATTCTTTGATCTATTTAGAACCATGATTCATGAAAACGAGTCTCTATCCAAAGTAGCAAAATATCAATACCTCCTGACTTCGTTGAAAGATGAAGCTTTGAACTTAATAAAAGGCTTGCCAGTGACGGAAGACAATTACACCATTGCTTATACCACCTTAAAGGGCAGATATCAGAATTGCCGACATCTCGCTACTATGTATTACAACGAAATACAACAGACAAAATCGTTATCCGAATCATCTCCAAAAGCAGTTCGTTTACTTGTCGATACTTTTAAAGAAAATGTCGAAGGATTCAGAAGTCTTGGCTTCCCTGTGGATCAGTGGAATTTTCTGTTATTCAACATTCTTTTACAAAAACTTAATAAATCTACCAAAACTAAATTCGAGACTGAGCACAGCTCACACGAAATTCCTACATATCAACAACTGATTGATTTCCTAGAAAACCAAGCAAAGGCGTTGGATGCAGTACAACTCACTACATGTGAAACCACTTCCCGTAATTATAATAAAACTTCTGTTCATTATCCAACAAAATCTTCTGTCAATCTGAAAGTTGAACAATCACCACTGAATACTAAATGTCCATTGTGTTCAGAAGCACACCCGATTTATCGATGCAACAACTTTCATTCCAAAAAACCTCTTGAAAGACTTAATTATGCTAGAGAAAATAATTTTTGTCGAAATTGGTTAAATTCAAAACATTCAACTAATAAATGTTTATCAACACGACGCTGCAAGCATTGTCAACAACCTCATCATTCTTTACTGCATCTAAAACCTCCACAATTATCTTCAGTTCCTTGAAGTTACCAATTGCAATCTGAATGCTGAAACTACGTCATCGTCACCGCAAGTCTCCCATGTGATCCTGCCAACTGCGTTGCTCCACATTAAAGATCGATTTGGACAATTTCATGTCGTACGAGCCTTGATCGACTCTGGCAGCATGTCGAATTTCATCACTCATAAACTGTCGAAACGTCTTCAACTCCATCGCACCTT